TTTTTTTCTCAAAGTCAACAGCCTTTTTGAAGTTCTTTCGGACGTTTTTTAGGTTTGGCAGCAATTCTTTCATGGCAGCATGTCCAAAATTGAAAATTTTGGAAAGTTTTCATCTAGTTCCCATCCATCTCAATTGTATATAGCAATCAACATAAATATCTCGCATTTAGTATTATTTAGATTTTTATATTCTCCCAGTCCTTGCCCTCATGCATAGAGTTCGATGCAAAAATCTTCACTGAGTCAAAACAGTTTCAGTTTTGCACATTGTCCAAAAAGGCATCTTTCCTTGCGTAGTATTTGAATTTCGAGCCATTGTTGTTATTTGATAATTAATGCAACGGATAATAAAGAAGACAATATAAAAGATTGCATTAAAATTGCTACACAAGACTGTCACCATGAGGATTTTATCATATTCATTTCTCAAAATTTAAATTACAGAAATACAAAATTAAGAACAGCTGAAACAAATAGTCAATACATTGCTGTATTCAATAATGTAGGAGATAATGAAATTTAAAAACATTATTGTTTAATAAGGCATTATCAAAAAAATTTATGGAATGCTTAATAGATGAAGTAAATAAAATGATCATGGTTATATTGTTTTCGACAATCATATATAAAAAGTGAACATAAGAAAATAAGAAAAATATTTTCCTAATGAATTGAGACCAATAGATTATGTAAATATTTATTTATTTCTGAAATATACTTTTATTGAATAAATATAATTCTTTTCTTTACGAGAAATGACCTGTATAAATAGAGAGTAAATTTTCAAATTTAGTATAATACTTCTAACGAAAACAACTTTTTTAATGCAACAATCCCATTCCTTTTTTCAATAATGGTGTGAATTTGATGTGCTTAAAGATATAGTAAATAAAATAGGAAAAATAATAATAAAATGTAGAAGTATCATTTATTAATGGAAAAACAAAGACAAATAATACGTTGATGAAAAGTTTGTTATAAAGTTTGGAAGAATTTTCTTGAATATTCATTGATTCCAGAACATCTAATCGAGTGTGATTTAAGAGATAGTGAAATTTGTATTTCATATAAAAAAGATTTTGAAGAAGAAGAAAAATTATTGAATTTTTTTTAACGAAACAACTCCATTCCAATTTTTCAATTCTGCTGTGAATTTGATGTATTCAAAGGCATAAAGATAAGAAAACAAATGTAGAAGTACTATTTAGTAATGAAAAGGACGAAGAGAATATATTGATGAATTTTTGTCATGAAAGTTTAAAACAATTTTCGTAACTATTCATTTTTCTGAAGTTCTAATCAAGCGTGATTTACGAGTTTCTAAATTTCGTGTTTCATATAAAGACTTTGAAGAAGAATGTTTGTGATAGTAATATTTTACAAAAAAACATATGAAAAGCACATTTTACTTTGGATCTAAGCGTATTTTTAATATGAAGGATATGGTTGATCATAAATTCAATGATTGTAGAAACGATGAACATGAATTTCTTCATTATTAAAATATAATGAATTATATACTAATAAAGAATTTCTTAGAGAAGTTTAGAAAATATGTGTCACATGAATGCATAACCAAAAAGATGAATATCGTAGTTAACAATTTTCATCATTTCTAAAGTCGAATTATGGTTATTTATATTCAAAATGTTGAATTTTTAAACAATTTTGTAACAAAAAAACAAACACAAAACACCATACTTAGTTGTATTAATATTTTGACGTCTTTCATAAGAAAGTACTTCAAAATTTAATTTTATATTAGTTGCAAATTTTTCCATCTTTTACTTTAATATAGTGTTCTGGAGTTAAACAAAACTATCAAAAAGTATAAATTTTCTCTATTTTCCACGCTGCTACACATTGATAACCTGGTTTGTCACTAGTATCTGTATTCCATATCCATCCACCTTCTCTAAAATTGTTTTTGGTAATAATTGGCTGAAACCAATTTGAATATTTTTATAATGTTGTTCTTATTTCCCAAATAAGTTAAATTCTCAGTTGTTAGAATTTTCTAACATACAATTTATATCCATTTTTATTTCACTTTCTCAGTGATTTTTAGTCGAGCAAATGAAAATTATAAACGATATGGGCTAAGTACTTAAATTTAAATACGATGTTGGAATTGACAGTCTAGATGTTCGTGTAGTTGATAATGACGGACTACATAATTTAGGGATTTGTGAGGTTAATGATGGTGAGGGTGTAAATAAAATAAGTGTGTATAAACTTCTCCTTTTATTGACTATCATTGTATCGCTTACATTAATTTACTATATACATTTCCTTAATTTTTATTTTAAATATATGAAATTGCAATTCATTTTCTTTTTAAGTCAGGTAACATAGATCTTATTTCATGTTCTTTAAGATTTAATGTTTTTCCATTAGATATTAAATCATTTCCTAAATCAAAGTAGGTAAAATAAAATTTTTTCCGATTTATTTCTATATCTTTTTGGTTTATACCATGATCATTAAAAAATTTTGAAATTAAATTGTGATGTTGTGCTTTTGAGCCTTGATATTATTGAGTGTTTTAGAGGAGTAACTTGTTCCAATACCTTTGCTGTAGCTTGATGAGCAAGCATAGTTGCCAAGATTTCAGGAGCACCACTATTGAACAAAAATAAAGTAAACCAACTAATGAAATATGCTGTAGAATACAGACAATAAAGGTTTGCGATTGTAAAAACAACATTATAACATCACATGACTGAAATATATTTTGTGCAAGAAATGTTTGTGTCAACATTATGGTAAGGTAAATTGAAAATCAAAAACGTGATTTTGATTATTAATAAGTGCATTTCATATTAACGTTTTATTTAATATAACTTTCCATTACAATTATTCCATGTTGTGTAAAGTACAATAGTTATTTTAATGTTCGACAGCTTATTATCAACGTAAATCTTACTGTACCTTTCTCGCAAATATTCCAAAGCAATGTGAAGACATTCTCCATGAATTTCTTCTTTTGAGCAATGCATTGAAAACGATTGTTTAGGAACATTTTCAACATCAGTATAAACCGCACTTCTCTCGACAAACGAATTTAAAAAATCTTGAGCTTGTTTCACGTCTTCATCTTTTTCCTCGGCACTCATGATGAAAATGTGATCGTAAAAACACAACAGATGTCCACTTTTAACACCGCACGATTAATTTCGTAAAACTATCACCATCTTAAAAAAATAATGGATAAGTACAAAATTCAAACAAACAGACACAGCTATTTGTTTAATATAATACAATAAATCGATTATCGACTGTTTTGATGAACATTCTGCATTAAGGATTAAAGTATTTCGTGTAGCCCACGCGTGCCTTTCCTTTACGTGTGTTATTGCCACCATTGACTGCTGTTATATGTTGTTGTTATTGGTATTGCACGTTGTTGTGGTTTGATGAAACGAAGGATAAACTTTAACGCAAATCAATAATGATATTCAAAATTACAGATAAAAATTCTGGGAATAGTTAGTATAGTTCGATTCCAATCTGAACCAAAATCAGTGATGTGAAGATTTGTGTATTTGTTAGTCTATTGATTTTCGGAACGTTTATTTTCAGAATAACGTTTGTTTTTGATGAATTTCTTGGTTGGTAAAGGTGATGCATAAAGATTTTTCAATTTTGCTAAACAATGAATATAAAATAATGGACTACTGTTTTTAAACACCATCAAAAATAAAGAACTGCTATGAACAGGTGGACATTTAGGTGGTCAAGTTCATTATGTAAGGAGCCGATTTGAAGATAGCCTTTACTCTAAGGACTTTGCTTTAACACATCTGAACCAAAATCACCATTCATCAGATGACATCAAATATTTATCGGTGCATACATACTTTACAAACATTGATTATCAGTGGACGAAATGAAATAGAATTCTCGTAGTTTAACGTACATCTTATAATCTTATATGGTGTGGTATTTTCTTCTGGCTCAATGTGTCGCATGATTTGTATATAACTGATTTAAGTTAGTTTTAGTTTAGTTTACATATGACATTTTACCAAATGCAGCATTTTCTTTCATCATCATTACCAACAGAAGAAGAGTTATTGTCTTCAATAAAATCAGTATATATTTCTAATTTCTAAGAAGCTACAAAAGTTTTTTTGCTGTCAAAACGATTTCGAAAAAGTTGAAACAGTTGATACATGGCATTTTTCTCCTCGCCGTTGATCCATTCCATTCTAAAAAATACATCAAAGTCATCATTTTGTTTGAGTCCTCCAACAAACACATTAAACTCAAGAAAAACATTTTCTAATTTCGCAACTTTGGGTCTTCGCTGACTTTCTTCGTCTGAAGAACAAGATCGTTTGTTTCCATTTTCATAATTATTTGATGAACTCGAAGAGCAACATATGATACCATAATCATTTCTGTCCACTTCAGTTTCCTGTGTAATTTGAAATTCTTTGTTATTGATAAAAGTGTCACTTGTTGTTTTTAGTTTCCCTACGTTAAGGCGACGTTTTCTTCTCTGATTAGCCCAAGTATTGAACTGCGCTGAACAATACAATTTTGAAAGACTATCTTCATCAGTCCTTGATACAACAGTTACCTAAATGCATAAAAAAGCAGGGAAATTTCAACATGTTCCACATAAAGTTATCTTTGACGAGGAAAACTAAAACTGCTAGTTCATAATTGAAGCAATCTCCCACGTATGGTAATGGGATGTTTACTTGCACTAGATGAGTAAAAGACATTTAGACATGTCGTAGTAAAGAAAAGCATACAAAATATTCATAACTGACCTCCAGTTCCCGAAGTATTTTTTCAACAGCAGCTGTGATTGTGTTTATTATTTCAATCGTTCTGGAATTCTTTAAAACCAATTTAACACCGTGAACATAATTATGATGAAATAAAAACTGAAGTGGCTTTCCTTTCTTTTTTTTCGGTAACGGTAACTTGAAAATCAAAAGCGATAAAAGAATCGATTTATATCAATATTCAACTAGTGATAACCACAACACTAACAAGAACATATATTTATGCTTGAGTACAGTATGTTACCGTTATAAAGATGTCAGGTAAAAATGTCCAAGCGATTCCCCATCGTGTAGTACGTCCTTGATTGAATTCAGTTGTTTTTATCTTATGGATCTACATATATCGATAATGATGATAAAAAATAGACAGGAAAATACGTGTATTACACTTTCTCTTACATTGGAATCTTTTAACTTGGCCAAAATCATCACACTTGACTTCTTACCTAACATTGTAGTATACCATCTACAGGAATAAAAATTCATTGTTAACACTAAAGGATCATTAACATCAATAACTGAATATAGATGAAAAAACAGAAATTTAACTCATAATTACTTAATCCGAGTTCGCAGTCTCAAACTATCAGTGATCATTTTTGCAACAAATTCCACTTCTCCTCCAGACGTCAAAATCTCTGATTCAGATCCAGTACAAATGGAGCTAGGTTTCGAACGATTAATACTCCTTGATTTGTTTTTAAAGACCTCCGAAGAACTACTGAAGAACGGTGGATTGCACATAGAAAAATGATAAATTTTATCATCACGTGATAAAAGCTCCTCAAGAACCACATTTGACTGAACAAGACGAACTACAGAAAAATATTCGCCAAAAGTTGCTAAAATAAAAATCAGTAAATCTAAAATATTTAGAACTATCAAACCTTCAATTTTTTCTTGAAAATTATTTCGCTTAACATTGGCGCATGCGTACTCATAAGATAGTGAATCAATTTCGGAAGCGCAAAATGTCCATCCATTCATTTTGACAGCAAGCAATGGATAGATACACGAAGCTCCAGTTCCTGAGAACAAATCATAACAAATTGCTAAGAAAAGGTTTTGAAGAATGATGTAATGGGAAGGAAAATAGTGACATCGTCACGGGAATCACCTATTGATGATGTAATGGGGATTCCCCAAAAATATAATACATAGCTGATGCAAGAATATCACTTCACCAAAGCCAGTAACGATTCCGTAGTCGAGAACTTTCACAAAATGGAACATAAAAAGGGATATTTCAACAACCCTTACTCTGGAATAGAGAAATGCCCCACAGACGAAGATGGATGCAAAGCCTACTTGCCATTACAAAAAGAAGCGCAATCTGAATGCATGAAAGGATGTAAGTGTATATACATCGTCACAAATTAGAATACAAAGATAATTTTCACTTTGATACAAAAATCAAGTTAAAATAGCAAGTTTTGCTTCCTTAGTTAAAACCAATAAAAGACTACGTGTAAATAATCAGAGCCACAATTGATTGCGCATTTTATGCAAATTCTCGACTATTATGATAATACAAATTGGACTATAGATAGTACATGTGGAGACAACATTCATAAAAATGGCAACGTTGCAGAATAATTATTTAGGGGGTTCCTCATCAAAAACCAGATAAACTAGTTTTGGGTTAACGACACATGACTAAATTTGCTCATCTTGTTAAAGGTTTTCCTCCTCTCCTAATAACAAATGATCATGAGAAAGAAAATCATGCTCTTCAAACAGATTATATCGTTGGAGCTTCACTCCTCCTGACAGTTGTCTTGATGATCTTCTTAATATTAGCCTCCAGACGCTGGAGAACACGTTCACAACAAGACGAAGAGAATAGTACGTTCATTCACACATTAAAACATTAACCATCAACTTATCCTAACTAATTTTTTATGTAGATGTTCATCACGGTAATGTACAACATACAGACGATCATCACGGTAATGTACAACATACAGACGATCATCACGGTAATGTACAACATACAGAGACGATCATCACGGTAATGTACAACATACAGACGATCATCATGGAAATGTACAACACACAGACGATCATCATGTTGGTGATGTACAACACACAGACGATCATGTTGGTGATGTACAACATACAGACGATCATGGTGGGAATGTGCCCCGAGATTTGAATAAAGGAGATCATGATGGGGATGAAATCTTTAGAGTTCAGAGATAAACGATTAACCATTTCAATTTGTCACAAATGTTACGTTGTATTAAAATTTCGTTTCTTTATTGTAGTAATAAGAAATGTGTATGTAATATGAGCTGAAATGTTTTTCAGTTGGCGGGTTTTCCCTTGTCTTTGGGTCTTTCCCTTTAAATAAATTGACATTTCATTGACTATTCGAGGTGTATAACAGTCATTCGTTCATAGCGTTATTAAAGACTGCTGAGAAGTTTCTTTTCAAATTCAAACAATGGTCACAACATGTAAGCTTGGCTATTTTATGAACAAGGAAACAGGCTGCGAAGATTGTCCCTTAAAGGATGATGGCTGTGAAATTTTTAAAACATTGCAAGAGGATATATATTCGGAATGTAAAGAGAGTTGTAAGTACAAAATTACAAATCAATTGTGAAGATTATTAAATACAGCCCGTATTTTCACAACCTATATGCTATATTTCTCCTTCTGAACACTATTATTTACTAAGTTCGAAATTTCACGAATCACATACATAGTGCGATAAAAATTTTGTTGCTTACGACAGCATTTTTATATATTAGGGAACTTTTCCCATTGAAGTTAGAGCTCACAATTTAAAATATGCTTAGTCTCTTGCTTCTTTCGTAAATATTTAACATGACGCACAATATTTTAGTTCTTATATTGTAAAACGTTTAAGCGCGTACTGTATGGAAAATATGAAGCTTGTTGGTTTCTTTCACGTAATTATTGCGCTAGAACATTACAAAAGATGAAGTATTAAAAATCTTCCATCATTTATAATATTTATGGATGTCATTGAAGCCCATTCAAAAAGTATTGAAAAAGGCAATCTAACAAATATTATTGTATTTAGGTTTTCCAAATACTCAACCATCAACAAATAATGAGAATATATATATTGTTCTGTATTCTTGTGTACCTGCATTTCTTATACTCATTGGTGTATTGATATTTGTTGTAATACGGAAACGAATGCATCACAGTAGAAAAGATGATGAAGAAAATGGTAAGATAAATAACACTAGATGCTCTATGAAGCACAAGTAAAGATTGTTTTATGTTAACTGATATTCTTAAAGAAAAAGTCTTTGATTTTTGAAATTCCTAACTAGATAAATTAATGATATCCCAATTTTATAACTTAATAACATAACGTGTTCACTTACAACAGTTCCTTTGCACACACACAAATGTTGGCTTTTTTGTCTCCCTTTTCATGTCTCCCAAATTTATCCTTTCACAGTCAACTTTTATTATATTAAATCAATTTCCTTAAATACTATAGGTGAGGTAGATATACCTAACCCACAAGACAACAGAAGAGATGTACCATTGGACCTCAATAAGTTTAGCGATGAAGAGAGTTACATAGAACAACTGCCTTCTTGTGATCAACTATGAGCTGTATAGCAGAATAACATATGAACATGAAAAATGTAGTTATTTTTTTGTGATTTTCGTCCACGTACTTTTAGTGCTTTAATAAACGGTTCACCTGGAATGAAACCCATTTTCTACATTATCAACCTTCACTTAATTATTTTTAATATTAGACACTAACCTATATCAATACCAACCACTTGGTCTACTTCGTGACCTGGTAACATCTGCAGTAAATCTTCTATCCAGTGGATATAGTTCAACCTTAAAGGGACAGTAGGAATGAGTCTGTTTAATGGCAACTTTACGTTTAATCCAAAGTCCTCATGTAGCAAGGTCATTGTTAATTGACGCAATGTTTCAGCATTCTTGAAATTAACAGTGAAACCACTTGATGTAGGAATCAAATGTTTACGAAATTCAGGGTACATTTCGCCAAGTTTTTCAAAGTTTGCAGGTGAATTCTTATATTTATTTCGAGCATGCATATTGACATATTTTATGGTATGTTGTAAAATACAGCATCATCCAATATACGTCATGTAAGATGTTTTTGAAATTAAATGTGATGACGTCACTATATTACCACTTGCCAGCGACCGTTCCGCGCAAATTGTTTTGCGAGTGGTTTCCAGGCTTAAGTTGTCTCACTGTCAAAACTATTTGGTCTACACATTTTATGGAGTATGTTTGACACGCAAAACGTGACGTTTGAGTCGGAAAACAACGTACAAAATAGTTTGTACCAGTCGCTGACAAATGGTAATAACCAATGAGAGTATAGCCCATATAAAAAATCGTGCAGCTTTTTAAAATTGCAATTGTCAGTTCTTCTGGTTCGATTAGTTCACGGCAAAGATGAGTATTTACAATCATTATTTCAATCAGTCATTGTTCTCTGTTGTACTTCTAACCAATGATAAACCCTGTCTTAATAATAAAGATTGCTGTTGCGAACAATAAGGCGAACAATAAAGTATTTGCATTAAATTTGTTACAAGGAACTTTTAACAGGAGAGAAAATGTTTAAAACGCGATTTCTTTTATGTTTTCTTTTTGCTCAAAGTTTATCGTGTCCAAATGGACAATTTAAGACTGCTTTTGTCGAAGAGTGCGTTGACTGTCCAATTAACGCCAAACTTACTTGTGATAACGAAGGATTGAATAAAGAAAATTGTCGGGAAAGTTGTGTTTCACAATCAGGTATGTAAGAAGGTCATTATAGTAACATAGTACTGAACGTAAAATGTTTAATAATGTGTTCAATAAAGCATTAAATATAAACTTTTCGATTTGAAAGATCGTTCACTTACAGTATAAAGGAAATCCCCTATGTCTATGGAATCATCCAAACAAAAGCTTCTTTATCTCCAGAGTTTAAAGACGTTTTCCCTAGATTTGATAAAATTAAAATTAGTAAAGTTTGTGTTAGAATTGTAGTATATTAACAAAACATACACAAAACTCAAACAAAAAGTCATTTTTATGTTCATTTCAATGTTGACTCATTTTTAGCAAGAATAGGTTAAGTATGAGTATTCAAATTTGAATTTCTTTTATATCATTCAATAACCAAAACCAGAAAGTGAAAACTTTGTTTTTTTTTATTTATAGCATCTGATGACAGGAGTAAAACAACTATAAAGGACAGCACAATTGACAAACTACCAATTGTTGTTGGTGTTGGCGTGAGCATCCTCGCAGTACTTATCGTTTGTATTATTTTCGTTTGTTATTATTGGATTTTGAGAAACGATCATCAGCCTATACAGGAATGTACGCCACGTCAAGAAAATGTGAGACTATCTGAAGATGGTCAAGCAATAGATGCTGTTTAATTTTGAGGAAGTTAAAAGTCTTCAATGAAGTCATTGTCAACTCAATAAGTCATTGACTTGATGAAAATAGTTTACACACAGATAAAAGACGATTGTATAATCTTTTACACATTATCACCTCTTTTACTTACACTAATTTTGGCATTTTCAAAAAAAATCCTTTAAAAAAATGTACAATTTTTTAATGAAGAACTTGTGCGCATTATAGACATATGAACTTCTTTCAATGAAGATATAAATATTTTGTAGAGTGATAGTGAATTTCTGTGTAGTAGTAGTTACATGAAGTAGCATATAAATAAAAAATATACAAATAATGTTCTACTTTTGTGAATAAAACTGCAACTAAAATGATGGACACTTCTTGTTATTTTATTGTATGGTTTGTATGGTGGTGATGACGATCAATGCATATTATCAACGTTAAACAATACTTGATGGTGTAGTTTACACAAGCAAACAAATATTTACAGGAATAACGTGGAATAACGATCATCATGTTATTCATTTAAAAAAATTAGCCATCTTTGAGTTTGAGTGTGGAAATATATTAAAAAAGAAACGAAGACTTTTTATCTACTAATTACATTGTATAAAATAAAAATATATTTGTTTTTAAGTCCTAAGTCTTACAATCATAGCAACTTTTTTTTTTAATGAAATTGACGGTTGTTAAATTGTATAAAGTCATATTAAGTAGTATTAAGTGACACAAATTGGCATTATAAGTAGTATTGAGTGACACAAAGAGATATTTAAGTGGTATTAAGCATCATATACTTATTTTAAGTGGTAATAAGCAACATTAAGTAGTGGTCACAAACGTGTTTCCCTGTTCTCAGTATTTACTAATTATTTGTCACATAACATACAGTTTAATGACAATATAAAAAACTTACATCAATCAACCTGTTAGAAAAGATACCGAATTACATGAATAAAGTATCATGAGCTATTTTAGCACAGTAATATTTAAAAGGAAACATTGTCGTTCAAAACGGGAAGAATTAAATAGATTGCTCGTCAATAACTTAAACTAAACAATGTAATTTTAGTAAAGAAGCAATTGAAATACAGTTAAGAGTGCTCTTCACAATTTTATCTTAGCACCAGCGCATAATACTTTTATTACACTTTTCAGTAGAAATTTTTTAAACTTGCGATTTTGTCAAAGCAACATATATTTACAGGGTATCCAACAGAGGTTAAACAAAAACAAGGTAAAAACTCTGATTTAAAACAAAACGTAAAATGAGCTTCATTTACCAAACAATGAATAACACCAGCACGACAATGCACGAGCTTTTTGTGTCTGTTTCTATGTCAAAATCATGATTTTAGAATTAAAAGTTTTGGGAAGTTAGAATATGGCCTAAAAATATGGCGTTACAACTTTGTATAAGAAAACAACGACTATAAAATGAGAATCAAACAAGATTAAAGCAACATTGTTCACTATACTTAAATTCAAATCGCCGAGGCCGGCTCAAGTGATATAATGGCAAAATTGATTTTTCAAACAATTTCAGGTAGTTTTCCTAAAAAAATTACATATAAAGGGGCTTTCTTGCAAAGAAGGCCAGGAAAATCCAAATAATTATAGAATCAAAAAAGATGGATGATTTTTTTACCTAATTATAGGATTTTTCATTGTGGTGACACTCTTGCTTCATCTTTTGGAGAGTGGCCATGGAACATGTTTGAATGGTGCTCATCAACAAGCAAGATGTGACACTTTTTTGAAAGAGTTAAAAACTTTGAAAAAGTTCGTATGCAATTTCAGCAACTGTCTAAAAACGAGGTATGTTAACATTATCATCAGTTAGATTCTATTTACTTTACATTAATGACATCTTCATATTCGTGTTTAGTGTATCGCCTCTTCTCTGGCCGGCAAAGATATATGTCGAAAACCCAAACAAATGAAAATCGTGAGCTTTCGACCACTTGCGTTAAATATAACAGTAAGACAGTAGATGTTCTTACGTTTTCAACATTCAATGTTAATAACACATTTTCTTTATAATAGATAAAAAAATTCTTACAAGAAATGTCAAAAAGGATGATTATTCATACAGATTTGAATAAAATGATTCAACGACACTACAAAACCATAAAATGTTATAACAATGAGAAAAATGTCATAATACGCACAAATTCTGTGAAGTCTTGGGTCAAAACAACGGTAGGATGTACTCTTTAATAGTGAAGTTGTAAATTGTAGCCAATGAATGAAAGATTATTTTGTTAACCCTTTCGAGACGGATCGTGCCTTTCCAGCATGAATCACCAAACGAAATGTGCACAAACTTTTGAGAATTTCTGTCCCAAGAGGGTTAAACGGGCTACATAATTTTATTACAGCAACAGGATCTGGGATTTTTACTTGTCACTCGAGGCAAAAAAGCAATGAAAATCACATCATCCAATCCAAGTACTCAAAAGGACTGGTATGCAGTCTACATTCAATTACTCGACAACCTAACCCTGGATCTTTGGCATATGATGTGGCATTTTAGGAGTACTACAAATAGATCGTGCATCATCCCGACTTGTTAGCTTAAGTATTTTGTGTTATAAATAATATACGAAATAATGAAAGGTAGGCGCAATGCATCAAATTTATATAATAATAGCATTATAGTATGAACAAGATAATTAATTCCAGAAACAATAGTCTTAATATGATAAATAATGAATTAATAATAATATGTCAAAAGAAAGTACAGTAAAACAAACGTAGTACAGTAAAACAAACGAAATTTTTTCAAAAAAAATAATTTGTCGATATAGAAATTAAAATAATGTCAAATGAATGAACAGTGTGTGTTTACCAAGAATTCTTTGATTTTTAGCTCTATTATTTTAACGTGTTTATCTTATATTTACCTCTTTACATTCCCTTTACTCTTTAAATTATAGTTTTCAACATGGTTTCAACATGGTGTTCACCACCGAGAGGCGTTTTGTAGGATTAAGAAAGTAAACTAATTCACTATCATTCTATTTCAATGTGTCATAGACTATTCATACGTTATTCAACATAATCCTTATACTTCCAAATTTCATTTCAAGTGCTTACTTGTTCATCCACGCACCTTTTATATTCTCATTCATCTTATTCTCATACATTGTTTCAATCTTGTAAGTTGTAAAACATTTACTTCTCTTTCCTTTCATATGCCCTTAACTGGATGATACAAAAATATGCTTTATAAATAAACATGCATAAATTGTACATTACCTACAACATGTATTCAATACATCTTCTCGAAGACTGAGATCCATGCGAGGGAAACGGGTTGTTTTGTGAAATCTCGATCGTCGATATTTTCTAAAACAAAGTCTTAGTGTCAGCAAACAAGTAGGAAAAATATTGTTTCAAGGAAGTCGTCAAAAACCTTGAGGTTCATCAAAATATAAAATTTACTGTTTAATGACTTAAAGACAGTTTAAGACATTACAAAAGCGGAAAATGAAAGAATTGTATTTAAGAACTCTTGTATAGTCTTGATGAAATACTTTCTATTTCCTCGTGTAAATTACGCCAAAACAGTAAAGTTCGTGACTAAAACAAACATATATAGATATTAGAGACACACCATATTCCTTAAAGTAAATGTAGTTTAAAACCAATTTGCGCAACACAAAATAAATTTTACAACCAATTACATAATGACAGAGTACAGTAAAAATTACTTCAGTAAATGTTTTAATAGATTTTGAAGTTATTACGAAGTGAACAAGTCTATCAGAAATGGAGTTTTACTGTACAGATAATTCCTTAATATAAAGATATAAATATGAGAATTTGAATGAAAATTTACAATATTCCCATTTGTCTTGTTGTACTTAAAATCATATTGTCGATAAAGATAAACCTTTTTAAAATCGCTAAACTTATTGTTACAAAGATCTCAGGTAAAATTTTGCGATAAGCTGTTGTTACAGTATAGATGGTATTTCGTTGTTAAAAAAATTTATTTTCTCAACAGAATCGTATTTTTTTAACATTCATTGCAATCAGTCTTGTCGGATGTTGCCTTTGGCAATGTATCATTGACGAAAGAAGCCGATGTAAAAAGTTTTTAAGAGATTTAAATGGCCTGAATAAGCTCGTTCGTAATTTTGCAGCCTGTTTCAAAAATGAAGTAATTACATTACAAACTTTTGCAGTTGAATATCGCGTAAAATCACATCATTTTTGTATTAATTATATTTTAACTTAAATCTAATTTTCAAGTGTAAAGGGGGGGACTGTGAAGATACGTTCCCCGTTCACTGAAAACCAATATTTTCTAATTCTTTCATATTAGATGAAATGATTTGTATTTAGGGCGAAGAGGGTAGTGCTTGTTTAAACCACTATGACTTTGCATTTTCCACAACACGTTGAATTACTATATGTGAAAGATTTTATTCACCCTATCAAAATTTTTTCGAAAACTTTGCAATTAAAACATGATAATATAAACTCTATATATTATCCGCTGATATGCACGTTTTTCATTTCGTTATTGTTCTTGTTTTTTTTGTTGTCAATATTCCAAAATTTTTTGGAGTTCGCCCACAGTGAACTTTATTCAAAGATGGCGGCGAAGTTATCGTTCCAGTTGTTTATAGAGTTCACTGGTGCCCTCTTAAAGCTTCTGAAGTACTCTTTTTACAGTCAAAACTGAAAACGTCCTCTAAATAATGAAGTCTTTGGCAACGCTCAACACTCACACGTTTTTTCCAATATTTTACATATAATATTAAGAAATAAACAGGAGTCATATATAAACAACTTGCGTTTAAAAAAGGTTTAAAAATTTATCACATAACAGTTTGACAATCCTTTTAATTCCCGTGCAAAACGGAATTGCTCAATTTTGAACGCAAAATTTTGCGTCCCAACATTTCTCTAAGTATATGTTTCTAAGACAGGCTTCCAAGCTTCTGCCCTCCCCAAAATTTTTAAAAATTTCGTCTTGTCATTGTTCACAAAGATGCAATTTATTAAAAGTGAAACAAAATTTTTATTAAAGTGAAAATATCATTAATGTTGAGTCATAAACGATATTATAGTAACTTATTTAGAAATAAGCCACTGCACTTTTAGTCGACCAATGACATAAATCTTTATACAAATAAATTTGCACTAAGTCATTCGGGTTTACCGTTGTTTTGAGCCACGTTAAATATGTCATTTATTGCAGTGAAATCTTTTTTACCATGATGGTGCATGCGATGCCTGGCATAATTTTTCCCTCAAAAAGTTCTTACGTACACATTTTTTCATAGAAGTAAATTCATTAATAATATACTGTTAAACTTAAAATATTGAAAGCGTTTGATTTGTACTGTATTTC